TTTTTTTTCATGTATTGTAAAGTTGTGTGAATTTTTCAATAAATTCTTTTGTCAAAACCACTTGCAATCTGATTCATAGCTGAGCGCCTTGCCGCCGGTTACACTTATGTACGATTTTTTTTCACTTTTTAAAACTGTGCTCACATTTTTTGGGTTTCTGCCCAACCCCACCCCTCCTCAAAAATCTAATGGTCCATCCCTTAGCTATGACAGTAATTAATGACAATGGCCGATGACATTGTATAAAGTGATATGATGATGATGATGATCAAGGTACTATATGTAAGGATACCTACTTGTATTTATTGGGAGATCCCAGATGGTAATTCTGTAGTTCTTGTTGGGATAAACCAGCAAACATGTAGTAGAAAATGTGGAAGTTTTCTTCGCCAGTATTCTGCATGGCCACCCTAGACTTCTCCAGAAGATACTCAGAAATCTTAGCACCAATAACTGTTAAGATAGATAACATAGATCAGTCATTGATGTTTTCTTCTGGGATATTTTATTGATTTTATACATTTTCGTTTACCTGAGCCATTTATGAACTTTATTTGTATGTATTTCCCAAATCTACTGGAATTGTCATTCATCACTGTCTGAGCATTGCCAAAAGCTTCCAGCAGTGAGTTCACCTAATATATAATGATAAGTATGATCATTGTTTTACTTAATTATTATATTCTGACTTCCATCACATGGGTGGATCCAGGAGAGGGTATACCATTTTACCATTTATGATCAGGATATAAACACAAAGGATTAACGATACAGTAGATCTCAGCTCATCTTTGGGGAAGGGGGGGGGGGTTCTCCCCTGCACCCCTTACCTAGGTGCACACCTGCATCAAACTTCCAATTATAGTCTGTGTGTATTGATTTTTGATCAAAAAACCAGACTCTGGAAGTTATTACATGGCCGGCTGTAGCCACCAATCAGACTGTAAGTAGTCCAGTTTTTAAAAAAGGTGTGGTCCTGTTTTTTCTTTACTTGTGTAATGAATATTTTTTATAAGGGGGAAAATGGTTCTGAAGTTAAAAAGTAGTGTGGTTGAAACTGGACCAACCATACTTGTGGCTACGGCCCTGATGGAGGTAGGTGAAAGAAGTATGAAGATAAGAAGTATGAAGATACTAGTGCAGTACCTGTAGGATCTGCTGTTCAAGCTGAGTGTTCCCTTGTGATAGTTCAATAATTTGGCTGATCAGGAACTTGGTAGATTCTGTTTTGCCTGCTCCACTTTCACCACTGTAAACAAACAGAAGATAACATGACATGGAGAAAAGAACTGGTCAGGGAGGGGTGGATGGGGATAATATAACAGACATTCATAGACAAAAACTGAACTGGTCAGGGAGGGGTGGATTGGGATAATATAACAGACATTCATAGACAAAACTGAACTGTTCAGGGAGGGGTGGATGGGGATAATATAACATAGACATTCATAGACAAAAAATGAATTGGTCAGGGAGAGGTGGGGTGGGGTGGGTGGGAAAAACATGGCATGGACATTCATAGATGATGGACATGTGTTGCCAACAAAAAAACTGGACAGGGAGGGGTGGGTGGGGAAAACATGTCATAGACATTCACAGATGATGGACATTCATTGCCAACAACAACAACTGGTCAGGGAGGGATGGGTGGGGATAATATGTTATGGATATTTTTGCAGACAATTAGAGTAGTCATTGGTCACTACCCATGAGCTATATATACTACAAACTATCAAAACCTTCAAGGATCAGGGAAGGGAGGCTGAGGATAGATTGTTACCTGATAACACAGCACTGGTGTTGTGGTTTAGCAACACCTTTACCGAGTACCGCCTGATATGCTGCATCAGCAACTGCATAGATATGAGGAGGCTCTGATGATTTCACAATTTCTTTGTACTTGTTGGAAACCTAATTAATCATTGCATCATAATGAATTTTTTTTACTTGTATGCACAAGTATAGGAACATATATTATTTAGGGACCAAATGTTTCAGTTATGTTGTGGGGGGGGGGGATGGGTTAATTTTAGAAGGGGGTACAATTTTCAGAATCAACTGAAAGTCATTTTTTGCAATTTCAAAGTATTGGCTCTGAACTGAGCTTTATAAATAAGGAAGAAGAAGAAGAAAGGATACATTTTTAAGTTACATATATTTAGGAAGTTTCAAATTGCATTGTGTCTTTTTTCCAGACTTAACCACTGCCCCCCTCCCCCTGCGACATGTCAAACGATCGGTCCCTTATTACGATTAACTTGATGATTAATATTTTAAAAATTCAAGCATAATTTTTTATCTTTTCTTTCCACTAACACTAAAATCAAATAATATCAAACCCAGCAAACATATAAAGCTTACACTAATAATATTCACAAAGGACAATCACAAATATTTATCTTTAGTTAAGTTTACTTTAACTCACCTTTTTATTATAAATATCCAGAGTCTTGAACGGATTGACAGCAATCAAAATATCTCCAACATATGTCTACAAAAAAATTGTCAAAATATTGAATTATTAAACGACAAATTGGCACAAACTTGTTCTTGAATATTCTTTTATCCATCGTAGTAAAACTAAGCTCAAGGTCGGGAAGTTTATAAACTTTTTTCACGCCCTCATCTCTAAAAACTACTTAAACTGATTTTCTTTAGATACAATAGTAGCTCTTACATAGATTTTATCCTGCGAATAACGTTGTCTAAGTTCCTGTAAAATTATTTGAGCATCTAATTTCGGCAAAGTCGCCAAATCGTCCGCCTTCCCTCCAAACTTCGACGCCATTTTGAAGGAATGAAGTATAAAATTGGACTTTTAAAATAGTTCCGCTCAGGTTCAGTGAACGATTCCACAGTATTATGCAAATTTTTAAGTCTTGTTTTCATTGACATCATTGTTTTTTTGGGAAAACGCTATTAATTATTCTCTTTTAAAATGAGTTTTGTGACATCCTCTGTTGAATCTAGTCAGCCGTGCGCGAATACACTGAAGTGATGCTGCTTAAAAGGGGAGGGGAGGGATGGGTCAAGCCTGAATCGAATTTGTTTTGAAAACAGTTAACAGAAGCTTAAAAAGCAAAATAAATTGCTTTTACGATGCATGAAAATCAAAACTTTTTCTAAGTTTTTGGATAAGAATGCGGATAAAAAGTTTAACAAAATATTTTTTTGTCTCGACAAAATTTTCTCCAACCCCCCCACCCCCGACATGCACATACACAGCAGACAACCCCCGCCCCCCACATCACACACACGACAGACAAAACTGAGAAGCGAGCAAAGGAAAGTAGAAAAGAAATAATTTGTTGGAATGTTTACTATAGTAACTGAAAAGCAAGTAATAAAACAGTACAGAGGGGCGGAGGTTAAAGCCAAATCTAATATACGGGTTACTCGGCATTTCCCTGAGTACTATCTTTTTCTCTAAAGTATTTCTCTAACTACAACTGTGACGTTTAGAAATAAGGAAATATGTTGTTGTAGATATTTTTGATAGATATTTATTTATAAAGAATATAAGAACATAAGAATTAACTTAAAGCGGAAAAAACACAGTCAAGTCTCGTTTTTACGGCCGTTTTGAATCCCGCCCGTTTTAAATTGAAAATTGTACGTAAAACTACAGTGAGAATTTTTATTTTGATGACGTAACGAAAAGGCCTGTCGCGCGTCATCTTTTTGATTACTAAAAATAACTCAAAAACTGTATAGCAAAAAATATTTTCATCGTGAGTTAAAGTTATTGGCAAAATATAAAAAATGAATTCGGACCGGAATGGAATGGAAAGAAATATTCAGGAAAATCACTAGAAATGCACTAGAACATAAGAGCGACATCAGATACCATAGGGAATTATATATATGGGAAAACAAAGGCGCGCGCGAAAAAAAAATGTTCTAGTGCTCTTTTTAATCGACTTTTTTTACTCTTTCGTATTACGGAGGACATTAGGGACTTTAAGATTTGCAAAATCTACTACGGCGACGTCAACCGGAAGTGTAAATAATTTCTCTTAGGGGTTCTGTTCATTGGAGATTTCATTTCAAACATTGTCAGTAAAGTCAACTTATCCACAGGGAAGACAGACTTTGAGGGCGCGAAACCTCAATGTGTAGTTATTTACACTTCCGGTAGACGTCGCCGTCGTAGATTTTGCAAATCGTAAAGTCCCTATTATCTTGACCTCGACTTAAAAGAATAATGGATTATTTAATTTTTCCAATTTTATTCTCTGAGCCATACGGAACATTATGACCTTATTATGCGTACTTTCTTGCGCATGCGCAAGGCGCCCACGTTTTAAAGATCCATTATTATGCAAATTAAGAGACAAGGTATATAACCACGTGCAGAGCCAAGACCAAGCCTCTTCTTTCTTCGTGCTATCGCACTAGGTAAGCCCTC